TTTTGAGTCCCTATTTACTCTTTCCTTGTTCTTCCCTACCCTATCCACCCACTAAACTCTCCTATCCTGGTGATTTGTACCATTCTTCTTTTTCTACACCCTTTCTTTACCCTTATCTTTTGGATATTTATATACATCTTACTAATTATCCTTATATTTTTACAATAGTGGTCTTATGTAATATTTGTCCTTATAACGGAATTAATTCACTCAGCATAATGCTATCTAGACTCTCTAATGTTATACAACATTATATAATATCATTCTTCCTTAGGGCTGCATAGTATTCCATTGTGTGAATGTTGTGCAACTTCTCAATCCACTCATTTGTTGGTGGACATTTGGGCTGTTTCCATTTTCTTGCTATTGTGAATAATGCTACTTTGAACATAGATGTACAAATCTCCATTTGTGTCTCTGTTCTAAATTCCCTGAGGTATATTCCTAGCAGTAAAATGACTGTGTCATATGGGATTTCTATATTCACCTTTTTCAGGCTGCACCATTTTACAATCCTACCAGCAGTGTGTGAAAGTTCCAATCTCTCCACATCCTCTTCAACATTTATTGCTGCCCTGTTAAACTTTGCTACTGGGGTAAAATGGTATCTCATTGTAGTTTTGATTTGTAGCTCTCTGCTTGCCAGTAATTTTGAGCATTTCTTCATGTTGACCATCTGAATATCTTTTTGTGACTGGATTATCAGTCTTTTTCTTGTGGAGACTCTGTAGTATTCTGTAAACATTCATTATGAGACTCTTTCCCAGTCTGTAGCTTTTCTTTTCACACTATTGGAGAAAGTCTTTTATGTCTATAGGGACTTAATTTTCAAAAGGTCCATTTATTGATATTATCCTCTCCTGGATGTCTATTTATAGCTATATTTCTAAGCTTTATTTATGCCATAGGTTAGGGCTTCTGAATTTAGTCTCATTTTGTCTCTTATGATCTTTATGGTTTTGGACTGTACACTAGGTCTCTGCTCCACCTTGAGTTGATATTTTTTGGTATGGTATGAGAAGTCTATGCTGTTACAGTTTTCTGCAGCAAATGTCCAGTTTTGCCAGCACCATTTGTTGAAGAGGTTGTAATTTCCCAATTTATTAGATTTTTATTCATTGCCAAATACCAACTGACAATACTACTTAGTGGGTTAATTCCTGGGTTCAGAACATCAGTAAACATATTTCACACCAAGTTGTGTCAAGAAATCTAAAGTGATAGCTCCTAGACCAATTGACTGGAAGAGATCCATATTTATTCCCATTCTCCCGAAAAGATGATACAACAGAGTGGAAATTATGAAACAGTATCACTAATATCACAAGCAAGCAAAAGCTACCTGAAGTTTATTTTTTTTAAAAATCTACTAGAACAATATATTGACAGAAAAGTACAGGCTATGTTTAGAAGAGGCTGTGGCACTAGAAGCATCATGGTTAATATCAGATAGATCTTGACTGAAAGCAGACAGTATCAGAAGAATGTCCATTTATATTTTAGTGACTATACAAAGGCTTTTGACTATGTGGATCTAAATAAATATATACATCCAGACAAATGTGGCCATGGAGTGTGTCAGATAAAAGTGCCCAGTAAGAGCAAAGAAGGGAGCTCTGGGGCCTCATGGCAAAAAGCTGTGCTGTAATCCTGAAGTCACAGACTTCCAGTGGAGCAGCAGCTCTGTGGGGAAAAGATGGGCAATCTCCTCCCGTGCGATTAATTGTTTCTGATAACCCACCAGAGGGTCACCTATGGGTCAGCTCCCACTCAATGGTGTACAAAACAAGAGTAAACAGCCCCAGTCAGAGAAAATGCCCCCACTAATCCAAAGATTGATTGCAGGCTTTGGGCATACATATGCTCTGAGACACTCCTGGTCCAGATAGGAGATGGTGTGGGTGTAGCCTGAGGTAGAGCTGAGGTTGGAGGAAACACTGCCTGCCACGTGGTGAGTCATGATGGGGGAGTGGACACAGGAGACCAGACGAAGATTAGAACTTTTCAGTTGTTGTGGATGATGTTGTCACCACCATCCTAAGCTCCCACACCACATGGCTGTTTAAGATGGCCGCAGTGTGCTGTTTACACTTAGGTTCTGTTGCTCTTGTTATCTGATGTCTTCCTTCAGTTAGTATTTGAAGTACTTTCTCTCATTTCTTTTTAAGTAATTATAATTTGCAAACTTTTTGTTTCCCAATATCAAAACGTATTTCTCAATCAATATCAGTAATGTGATTTTATCAGACAATTTCAAGGAACTTGATCTTCACTTTGTCTGCACTTGCTGCTCCATGGGAGAAAGATGGGCAAGCAATCTCCACTAGTGTGATTTACAGCCTCTAAAAACCCCACTGGAAGGTCAGTTATGAGTCAGTTCCAACAGGATAGTACATAACACCCTCAGTAATGGAATGGATAAATTATATTACATTCATACAATGGAATGTTGTTGTTGTTGTTATGTACCTTTGAGTTGCCTGTGATTCATAGTGACCCTGTATACAATAGCTCTGAACCCTACCCTATCCTAAGCCAGTCTCACTGTCACTCACACACCTGACCCCATTACATCAGTTATTGTGTCAATCCATCTCATCCTTGGTTTTCCTCTCTCGCACTGTTCCTCTACCCTTCCAAGCATGACCTTCTCCAAAGACTGGTCCTTTGGCAAATAAGATTAACAAACCATATCTGCTTGATTTTTTTCTTTTTTTTTGTTGAGTATTATTTTTTATACATTGTGTTTTATCCATGAACATTGTGCTGCACATGTTACTTGATCATATTGGGTTTCATACAATCCTTTGTATACATTGTGTTTTGTAAAGTTAAATCACCATTGTTCTATGCCTACCATTACTCATTTTTTTCACATCCAAATTGGATCTTTCCTGTTCATTTAGCCCACTCCTTCTACCCCTCTCCCCCACATATCTGTCCATCAAACTCAGTTATCCTAATGATTTCCCCCACCTTTCCCCATTTCCCACCCCCTTGGCCTCTTCCCCCTTTGTATTTTTATACGTATCTTCCTAGTTATCCTTTTATTTTCACAATAATGGTCTTATGCAGTATATGTCCTTATAAGCCTGAGTTAGTTCACTCAGTATAATGCTCTCAACACTCTCCGATGTTACATAATATTTTATTAAGTCACTGCTTCTTAATGCTGCATAGTATTTCATTGTGTGAATGTACCACAATTTCTTAAACTGTTCTTTTGTTGATAGTCATTTGGGTTGTTTCTATTTTCTTGATATTATAAATAACATTGCTATGAATGTAAGTGTCTAAATCTCTATTTGTGTCTCAGTTCTATTTTCCTTGTATTATATTCCATTTTGTATCCCATTATGTTATATAGTCATATGGGATCTCTATGTTTCACTTTTTGAGGAAATGTCAAATTGTTTTCCAGAGTAGCTGCACCATTCTACAATCCCACCAGCAATGCATGAGAGTTCCAACCTCTCTGTATCCTCTCCAATATTTATTGCTCACTGTCCTGTTAAACTTTGCTACTTTTATTAGGGTGAGGTAGAGTCTCGTTATTGTTTTCATTTGCATCTCTCTGATTGCCAGTGATTTTGAGCATTTCTTCATGTATCTGTTGATATCCAAATGACTTCCTTTATGAAGACTCTATCTATGTCTTTTGCCCATTTTGTGATTGGGTTCTCGGTTTTTTTCTTCTGGAGACCCTGTAATATTCTGTAAACTTTTGTTATATGACCCTAGTCTGAAATGTCATTATCAAATGTTTTTCCCAGTCTGTAGGTTTTCTTTTCACTCTACTGGAAGAAAGTTTTGATGTACACAGGTACTTCATTTTTAGAGGGTCCCATTCAGCAATTTTATACTCTTGTTGTTATGTATTTCTGGGTATATTCAGCATGACTGACTCTTACAAACAAAATGCTAAGCAAAAGAAATGAGATGCATGCACAAAAAAGAGTATTCTTCCATTTCCTTGTTGTTAAAATATCAAATTAAACTGTAATGTCAAGGGATGTATCTTTAAGTGATGAAGCTAAAAAGACAAAAAAGGAAAATGACTACCAAATAAATGTCAATAAAATGATGGAGAAGATCCAATAGTGATTCATTTTACAAAATATAATTTATGAGACTGATTATATGAAACACAATGTGAATGAGGAATAGTGTGAACCACTATGTATATAAGCTTTCTAAGAAAGCCAATTTAAAAAAATAAAGTAAAATAGGAAGTATGTGAATGATAGTATGAAATACAATGTAAATGAAAGATTGTATAAAACACAATGTATATGAATAAAACATAATGTAAAGCAATTATTATATGAAAACTGATAAAAATATTTTAAAAAGAAAGAAAAGGGTGGCAGAGGAGTCGGAGAAAATATGAGGGCTTGTTTATATTTTCTGTTTTGTGCTATATAATTTGTGTATATTATTTCACACTGAAAGATTATATAAATAAAGCACAAATCTACTCATGTTAATGAGTCCCTTTGCCTTCGATTTAGCGTTTATCTCCTTACTTTGGTTTTAAAGTCCTTTGAGAGATCCTCCATTTGTAGGTCCCTCCCTTTGTCTCTTAATCACCCACACTTTAGCATCCTCTGCTGCTGCCACAGTAAATGAATTATAGGTTCCAGAACATGACATCTCATTCACATCTTTTGCCTTTGCAAATATGGCTCTTTTTAAAAAAAACTCATCATTCTCACTCATTTCACCAACTCTCAGCCATTTCTTCCATCATGACCTTCTTCTGGGAGTCTTTCTGCTCTTCCAGCACTGACTTCTCAGGCCACACCACTGGGATGTTTCTGTTTACTTCTCTATTTCCCACAGGACAGTGGGTTCCTCAAGGGTGGGGAACATTTCTTATTTGCCTTTCTGTCTGTGAAGCGTTAGTCATTGCCTGGCATGAAGTAGGCAGTCTAGTAATAATTTTCAGTAAAAGAATAAAGCCAGATCAGTGATTATTTCATCTCTTTTGTATTAACCAGGTGGATAATGAACAACTGGATTTAGACAATGAAGATGTTGACAGCATTGATGACAGCAAATTGAGCCGTTTCATTGAGATCAATAGTCTCCACTTCGTAACAGAGTACAACCCTGTGGTAAAAAAAATTAATCTCTTAAGTCGTGTGTCTGGGAGTATCCTTGTCCTCATAGCAGCGATAATCTCTGGAGTTCTAATACATATACCTATAGCTAAAGCAACTGCCATCAGTTTTTTTCATTTCTTTCTTACATATTGTTTATGTTTACATATAGTTATGTTGTCATCCTTTTATTAAACTTGAAGTTTGACAAACTTGTCCTTACTCAAGAAAGAAGGAAATTGAAACTCAAAAAAGGACATGACCAATAAGAAAGAGAACCAGGATAAAAAGCAAAGATAAATGATTTAAAAGTTTGGAATTTTAGAAAACCTTGACGTAAGCAATATCTGGTATCAAACTGTTTCAGTTTGTGCTAGAAAGCCTATTCATTTTCTAAAGCACCAATGATAGATACTTTTATAAAATGTAATAAAAAGTGCTCCCTTCAGCAGCACATATACTAAAATTGGAACAATACAGAGAAGATTAGCATGGCCCCTGCTCAATGATGACACACAAATTTGTGAAGCATTCCATATTTTAAAAAACTATAATAATAAAAAGAAATACTCTACAAATATAAATCAAACCCACTGATCACAAACTTGAAAATTAAAACAGTGCTAAGTTTCCATATGTTTCTAAACACCTCTTCCCATTTTCTCTGTCTGGCTCATTGTGAACTAGTGACAAGCTGACCTTGGTCTGGCTCTGCCTTCAAACCACACTTTGACTAGCAAACCCTGGATGCTAAGTCTTTTTCCCATTCTGCCTTGCCCTGGTTTTACATTCTGTTTGCTGTTCTCAAGTGAGGAGGACATGAGTGTTGCAAACATTTAAAACACTTCACAACTGTAGAAACAGTTGGTGGACTTGGGATAGGCAGAGTCTGCCCTCCACTAACATCACAAGAGGAAAGAATCCCTATGGACAGGATAAAGTCGATTACAGTGAGGTCCACGTGCCCTGCTCCCTCCCTACTTTCTTCTAACAATTCCAGCACCAACTGGAATTAGTGGCTCTCACTATTTTATTACCAAATTGGGTAGTTTGTTACAATGGCCACGCAGAAGTCACAGAAAACGCTCACAATTATGGGGCTTGTTAGGGAAGTAACAGGTTACAATTCAAGTTAGAAATGCTCAGAATATAATTTTTCGATCAGAACAGCTTCTTCCCC